CACCAGGACGTAATCTCTAGGACATTTTAAGGTGGGTAGTTACCGTTATAGGAGCCTTATAGAAGGTCTATATACCTTACGGAAGCCTTATAGAAGCCCTATATACCCTAAACTCCCCACCTGTAGTTTCCTTTAATAATCTCAGCGTGCTTGAACAGGAGAGTCCCTGACGATGACCGGAACACAGGAATGGTCTGCGCCCGAGGTGCTGGATTGGGAGGCAGCTTGACACGTTAGGGGTTTAGGGTTTAGGGTTTAGGTTTGACCTTTTTGTTCTAAGGTTTGGTGGTTTGGTGGTGAAAGGCTGATGCACCGACTTATGTTACGTGTGGCGATGTTAACTCCTGTCTTGCGCGAAAATCAGGCCTGTTGCCTTATGCCTTAACTCAAGAACCTTCAAACCTTAACCCCAAAACCCTAAACGCCCAAAACCCCAAAAACCCGAATCCAGCCCTTCTGCTAGAATACGCCGGACGAGAAGAATGACATTTGGGGAGCCGGGCTTTGTCTCAACTTCATGCTTGCTGGGGATTTGCCACGACGGGCGGCTTGGATGCATAGAGGGAGGGGGTGTGGAGTTTGTGTCCTAAACCCTAAGCCCTAAACCCTAAACCCTAAGCGCTTGATCGGCAACACGAATGAGTTCTTGTGTTTAGAATAGGGAGGTGCCCGCGACCCCAAACTCCAGAAGGTTACGTAGTCCAAACCATGCACTCCAGAGCTTAGTGATATAGGGCCTTAATAATTACCTATATTATCTTGGGGGATTCCTTATTATCCTTATCATTATTACTATATAGATAGTATAATGGGCTCCAGAGCGCTATTCTAATCATTAAGGCTCCAAGATTAGGGATGGTTTTAGGGTTTAGTAAAGGGATCAGCGGTTGGAGTTCCGTTGGCTTCAAGGCTTTCGCCAGTTTTTTTGCTCCAAACACTTCAGGGAGACTCAGGAGGGCAGGTTTTGTTTGAAGGTTGTGGGTTTAAGGTTTCGGGTTTAGGGTTTGGGGTTTCGGGTTTGGGGTTTAGGGTTTGGGGTTTCGGGTTTAGGGGTTTCGGGTTTCGGGTTTAGGGGTTTAGGGTTTCGGGTTCAGGGTTTCGGGTTTGGGGTTTAGGGTTTAGGGTTTCGGGTTCAGGGTTTGGGGTTTAGGGATTTAGGGTTTACGGCAGAAA